CAACAAGCCTTTATGTTAAAGAACTTATAAGTTATGTTCCGTATAAGGAATATAGGATATGGCAAACTGATGGCAGGCTGCACTGCATTTATCCCTAAGGATATTCCTAAGAATATAGCATACAATTACTTGTCAGCAACTTTCTGGTACAAAACAAAAAAACTTCATTAAAAGCATCAGCTCCAAACTCATATGGGGTGACCTTCAAGAGAGTGTACACACAGTCAGAAAAACAGATAAAAATGCAGGATCCAAAGGAATCCAAATTAAAAGTTTTTGTGCATGTGATGGGAACACATTTATTAAAACTGGGAGAATACATCTACTCTGGCTACAGCTGAACTAAATTAATACTTGGCTGCCCCCTCAAATCTGCTGGAATACATGCATGCCTGGTTACTCCTTCAACTAGGTCTGTAAAACCAATACACAACAGCTGTAGTAATAAACTTCTGCTACTCTGCAATGCCATTATCACCTAAGGAAGTTTCTTGATAAGATTAAAAGAGATGTTGATACACCTTACCAAATTTCCAGAAGTCATCTCTGCCTTCATCCACTCTTGAGAAACAATTTCGTAGCACAGGTTGAAGCAACTGTTCAGACTACTGTCACTCCAAAGAGGTATATGAATGAAAACAGTTGTTTTTTTTTCACCCTCCCCATTTCTACACTGTGAAAGACCTAGCTAACAGCCAATACTCAAGAAGCTGCAAGGAAAAGAAGGCAGTCACTCTCAGTTTTTAAACTGATGTGACTTTTAAGCTGGAAAGCACAATTTATACCCCCATTCAGCTTAAAAAATGAAAGCCCCCATGCCACTCCTTGTATCCCAGCAAGAACAGTGGTCAAAGTCGGAAGCATAGTATTCCTCCTGCACTTGAACAATCTTCAAACTACAGCTTAAAATAGACTCATGAATAGAAGAAAAATCTATGCTAAGTCTGACTCTAATCACTGTCCTTACAAATTACTTACCAGATACTTGGAGCATTTATAAAATACACTTGAGGTAGAAGTAACTTTTCTGGAAAAGCACTTTAAGTCCCATCTGAGCAATAGCTGCTATGAAATAGCACTTGTATTCTTCTTCACTCATCTTCCTTCCCATCAATAATTTATTTTAGAATAGGCACTATTTTGACACCAACACACCAATTTTTTCCAGATGCCATCCCAACACAGGAAGCAAATTGTGCCTATGGGTCATGTAGTCAGCCTAGCTTACAGAAAGATTACATTGCAGAGTTTGGATCATGGTTACTGAAGTGGACCAGGAAATCCTGCTCTTACTTTCACCACTGAAATGCTCTGCATCAGATCTGATTTAAGAAAGCTTACAAGCTGAAGCAAAATGCTACAAAGTCCTAATGAAAAATGAAAGGTCAAGGAGTGCAGGTTATGCTTGTCATAAAGAGCATCTGTAACTTTCATGCCAGTTGTTTATGTATCACTAAAAAAATGTTTTACCACACAGTAAAATGCTTGACAGGGACCAGCACAAATGAGAAGTCAATATGAAACTGTCACTGACACACAGCAAGCAAGGAGAATAACTCTGCATTTCCTCTCAATTTCCTTGTTTTCTTACAATTAAGATTTCAAGACTCTGTGTAGTTCACTACATTAGCCAACATATCTGTGTAACTGCAGGAGAACAGAAACTTCACTCGACCCTAGAAGCAAGGGTACTTCCTAAGAGCACCCTGTATTAAGGACCTAAAGAAAACAAAAGCTTTCTACAAGGAATCCTTTACTGCCACTACCTATTTCTGTATTCATTCTATAGACATAAAAATAACTTCAGTCTCCAAGCCTGAAAAAACAGCGTTCTGATACATACCCTTTCTAAACCTATACTTTAATAAAGTTTCTTGTAGTGTCTTACAGGAAGACATGACCAACACATTCTGAAATGAAAAGCTGGTGTGTAAGGATTGTGTTAAACAAATTGAAAACTCTCATATCTGCCAATAAAAGATTCATAGAAAAACCCACCTCAAAACTTAAAAAAAAGCCCATCCGAACACAAACAAGTGGGATTTCATTTTTTTTTTTTTTTTTAATGACTACATTTTTCTCCCACATTGCAAGGCTTCAGAGAAGGTGGTGAGGGGAGAGAAATTAGATGATCTTACCCAGAGGCAAGCACCATGCACAGTAACTTGGAAAAAAAACAGGAAAAAATATTACACAAGTCAGCTGGCTCAGCAAGGATTAAGAAATACTTTGATAAACAGCAAATGATATGAAAGGCAAAGCTTTTGGCTCCAGCTCAGAAAAATAATTACTCCCAGCTGGGCACAGAGAACTCCAAGAAGGGCTACAATTTCACAAGAAGGGCACAGGAAAACCTACACAGCCTTACAGTCTTTCTTTCATAGTTATGTTGGTAGGTATATGCCAAGTAACATTTAGGCCAATGGCTAAAAGTAAACAAGACTATGAACAATGTTCTAGTGGGGCACAGGTTACCTGCCTTTCCCAGGCATGCATAAAGCTGATGGAAGTAGAGAACAAAATTTAAAAAGTGGTCATGCTAGTTTGAAATTATACTGCTGCAGATGGGCCTTTACAGAACATTTAATTTCTTTTTTTCACACATAAATATACTTGGCTAAATAGTCAATCAACAGAGCTTTATAAGGGATTTCTTCAACAACCCCTGACACTTGAAAGAAGTTGCCAAACTTTTAAAAATACAAAGCAAATTTTGCATTCAAAAACTCCTGCAGAGCAAGAAAATGCTTTCACCCACTCTCAAAATACAGTCAAGTTTCATGTCACAGCAGAAGGCTTGAGTCAAAAGAGGTTCGCTTTCACTAGTAAAACTTTTTTTCTGCTATTTTTCCTGCTGACTGCTTGTTTTATATGGGTGGGGTAATGTTTTTATTGTTCTGGACTGCCCTTTAATTGATGGCAGAGTGCCTGGATTTTGGGATTGGCATCTCTTCCCCCTTTTTTTTAAAAATTAATACACTCTATACTCTCGACTGCTAAAAACAAACCCACAAAACAAATAAACAAAAGCTTTCAGATGGCACAAACAATCTGCTGAAACCCTGCTGCAAGGAATTTACTACCGAAAAGCCTAATCCAGGCTTCCTACCCTCTGAAACACTCTCAAAGACCAAGAAGCAGAGAACAGTGGAGGCCAGCTGAACTGTTCAGTGGCTAAATATTTGTGTAATTCTGAGAAAGAAGATCAGATTTTGGCCTCAGCCTCAAGCCTCAAGAACTACCAGGAGGGGAGCTTGCTAAATGAGTAAGATATGTTCTCAAGAGAAAATAAGGCAGATTAGGAACAGCTTGAAAAGGAGTTCTTGAAGAGTTTGGTTCAGTATTAAATCGAATGGAGAGTCGCTGAAGCAAAGGCTGAAGAGTCACTGAAACAAGGGAGAGAGGAAGGAGGGTGGTCTGTCTAGGCAGACATGCAATTAAAAAACCCAACCAAAAATCCCAATCCACACCCCAGCTTTTGTGCACAAGCAATGTGAAAACAGCATCTACATTAACACTCAAACCCAAGACTAACCAGCCAGCATCTAAAGCATCTCCAGCGGTCTTGAATGGAAATATGCTATTACTGATGATGCCAAAATAAAATTTTTTTTTTTAGCATTGAATCATTTGCAATCTGTCTTTTCTGCTTTTATTTTGTGATTGGATAATTGAGTGAACATAACACTAGTAATTAAAAAATTGCCCTGCTACAATGTGACACAAAACAAAGGTCCTAGTTCTTGCTCAGATATTGATTTAATGCTGACTACAATATTAGTTGGCACTGCCATTCTTCCAATATTTTGCTATTCCAAGGGAGGAGAAACAAACAAATGAACCAAAAAAAAGAGAACCACACACATACACATGCCCCCCCCCCCCACCCCACCCCAAACAAGTAAGCTGGAATTATTTAAGGAGAAATAAAGTGTCAGCACCAAGCTAAATTGTTCTCATTATCCAAAGAACTTAAAAAATACTTTAATATTACACTTGCATGAAAATTGTATGAGCACACCATGCCAGGCAGTGTTTCAGCATGTTCCCCAAGTGCACGCAAACAAAAAACATATGACAAAATGTTGTCTCCCGACTGATTAAAGTATTTCTTCCTAGCATGGAAAAGCACTTAGTTAACTGCAGTGTGTCTGTGCCAACTGCAGTATTCCACCCACCACCAAGCACAGAGTTCAAACCTGGACACAAATATGCTTCAAAAACGTGCAGCTTCTGAAATACGAGAAAGAGTTGTCCGAGCAACTTGTTTTCAACCCTGAGCTACTTGGTGAGCTGAAAGAACTGGTGAAGAGTTGGATGAGTCCAACTACACTGTGTCTCAAACACATTTGGAAAAAGTGGAATGTATTTCTTTCCAAAACATCACAAGAGCAAGGAAGCCACACCAGCACAACACACACAGAGAATCAGGGAAAGAAATCCTACATACAAGGTTTAATACATCTGTGTTGCTTTCTATTGTGGTATTCATTTTGTATTGCAAATCCTTCAGTTTCAGACACCATAATCACACAAAGGAAGTGAGTTTGACATGACCAAACTGTGGGGACACAGAAGTAGTACAGTCTAATACACCATGTAAGATGAACAGCCTCCAGGTCTTTAACCATTTCAAGGAGCTAACTATTATTGGCCAAATTCCAAATGTCACAACCCACCGTAATATAGCAGCTTGTTCCATAACTGGTGTAAAATCCAAGATAAAATCTAGTGTTTCATAATCCTTTTTAAAACACAGCTAAACCAAGTTATTTGCATAATAGACTCCATGTCTTATCAGAAGAGCTTCCAGTGTTTTGTACTTTGATAGTCAAAAAACAGGCAAAATAGGCTAAAAGCTACTTGTTCCCTTCTACAAGTCTCAAAACATCCCAGCCATTTGGGTCAGAGGTTTATGAAAAGCAAGCACATTAACAGCAAGTCATTATATTGAGAAGGTACCTTGTAAGTATTTTTTTTTTCTCACAGATGAAGCCTACCTGTTTACTTTTAGTGGCCATTCCAGCAGAATTCTTGGTTCCTTTAGCCCCCTCCATATTTCTTAGAACATCAATGAAATCTCTCTTTGAAACAGAAGACATCAGTTTAGCACGCTTCCTCTCAGAGCTCCCTGCTTTCTTCACCTCCTCTTCCATTTTCTTCTGGTGCGTCCTGACAGCGTTGAATAATTGTACAACACCTCTGGGACAGGGAAAAAGACAACAAAGCAAATCTTTTAACTCAAGTTCCTTTCACAGAAATGAACCCCCTACTAAAGCTAATCAGTGCAGATGCTGGATGGCTTCTAACTCCCCAAAATGGTTACCTGGACCTCGATTTGGTCAAGAAGTAACATTTACTACAACACAAAAGACTTTCAATTTTTACTCTTCCTTCATACTTATTGCTAGGAACCAGTAACAAACAAATCTACTATTCAGACTCTGAAGTAAGCCTGGTAACATGGCACCAAGATCAGTTTCATCCTTGGGAGTATGTTATTTGTCCTAAAATCATTTATTAAATTACTCAGGCAAGTCTCTTAAAGGCAGCTGAAGCTGGGAAATAGGACATACAGGCAGCACATCAAAATGTTCAACTAGTTCTGTGACACCAAACTACCACAATGTGAACAGGCAGCTGAACTTCACAGCCATGGATCTGGTGAATCCTCTGTGGAGAAGCAAAAAACTAGAACAGTAGAAACAACTGTTCTGCATTTTTAAGGCATTAAATTAACAAAATGAGGGGATCCAACAAAGCACTTCTGCTAAGCAAACATTAGATTCCCATCTAAATTTTTACTCTTTCATAAAGCTTCTGAAATCGTTCGTTGAACTTGATACTGTAGAATGCAGACCTGTCTATAAATCTCTCGGCTCCTGCTAGTCACTTCTTAAGAGTTCAGTCTGATTGGAAACAGATTACCTGCACAGGCCTTTTCCTCCTCTTTCTGATATACATACATTTAAGGAAAACATTCAAAAAAACTTTTACCTTGTGGCAATTCTCTGAAGATTTCTTTCCTTCTCTCGGTCTTTGACAACATCTGGCTTCACTCGGCACATCATTTCCCATTCCCGCTTTTTATCGAGCTGCATTATAAATATTGTTATGTGAAACAACATGGACATTTGAGAATGCAGTATGACCTGACAGAGTATGCAGCAGGAGGAAAAAAGTATCTGCAAAGTTCAGTTTGGTTGAAAGTAAAAGGAGCTCCAATATAGGGCTAGACAAGTCTCTCACATTGATACAACAGGGGCCACACTGAGAGTGTGATTCTCCCAGAGAGTCATCTGCTTCCAGTAACAAAAGCCTAGGAAAAAGACTTTTACACCTACTGCCTTAAGCAAGGAAATTATTCAAAGACAGCCTTCAAATCCCAGATTTCACAAGCTGATCACAGAGAAATTTATACACAGTAAAATCCTGGGTCCATCAAGACTGGCATGTCACATTTTGAGCCTTGAGAATTTGACTTCCCCCGACAGAACTGGTCCCATGGCTTTGTGACCAAAGCGACACTCAGCAAAGACGGCAACAGGCAGAACTCTAACACAGGAAGAGCACCAAGTGTCCACCAAACAACAAATCATGTCTACAGTACTGGTTTTTGTCTATTTTTTTGGAGGTTCTCCAATTCTAAACCAAACTGATCCCCTTTTCCTACCACCAGACACAAAACCATCAGCTTTGTTCCTGCTGCAATAGGAGACCATTGTATTTCATGACCTCTGCTTTAGGACTAAGTTTTTCTTCCACTCTGAACAATTTAACAGTGTTCTAGGCCTGGTGATGTTCCATTAAAGAAGTTTTATGCAAGAAGTCTCTAATGGAATTTGAGAGTCCTTATCTTTATAATTACAGGCAGACTACTATGAACTTCTGAGTTTATGAACATGTTTTGGCCTTTGATCAAAAGAACTGCCCTATTCTACCTTTCATCAGCAAGAAATCTGTGAAAGGCAAATTGCTTTCAAGTTTTTCTAAAGCAAACAAGTCACTTTGGGGACCTCAGGCCCATCTCTGTTTTGCAGTATTCTCATGTATTTACAGGACGAGAGCAGGCATTTAGGACAACCATAACTGTGCAGATGCTGTACTGAAGCTCTCTGAATTTAAAAGGCAAGCCATGGCCCAACTGCAGCATGTCCCAAACTGTCAGGTGAATAACCTGGTTATCTCACAGAAACAGAACTGGTAGGATGAGACATTAGAACTATTAATGTATTTCTAGCCTGAAGGTAAATCAATCAGAGGCTGGAATTAAAAGTTCCACTGAAGGCACAAACAAATTACTTACTTGCCAACATGGTTTGGTTTCTTCATACCAGTTTCAGAACCAGAAGCAATTTATGGCACAGACATGGTAATAGAAAACTCCAAACAGGAAAATGACTGAGGGGAGCAAACAACAATGCACAACCACATCAATGATTACTGCAGTCTCAGCCTAGAGGCCTTGATTTTGGAAGTCACAGCACAATTTAAATGGAAGCAGTTTTCTTCTATTTCTCCCTCTCACTTTCTATGGTAGACAACTATTTCAATTTGTAATGCCAACAAAGTGAATTTCGCGCCAAATAAACAACACCAATTAAAAAAAATCAAGCTTGAAGTAGCTGCTTTCACCCCTTCAAAAAAGAAAACACCTTAAGCTGACAGACTGGAACACTCCTGCTGCCAGTGTTCAGCCTGCCCGATGACCCAAAAGAAGCAGTAAGAGAAAAAACCTTACACAGCATGACTGGAAAGTGGGAGAAAAAAAAAATTAAGCTACTCAAGATCACTGTGAAGTAGAGACTCCAAAACTGAGACAGCCTCAGCAGAGATCTGGGACAGTGCTCTGAGACTATATTGCATGTAGCCCATCTGACAGTCACTGCACATGGAATACTGCATCTTTTTCTCACCCTCATCTTCTTTTCTTGCCTCTCTTGGTTTTTTTTCTCTCTTTCCTTCTCTAGGCTTTTATTCTTGGCCAAGATGGTGGATTTATTCTGTGGAATCTTTTTGTTGAGCACTTTTGCCATGGCATCTGCCCATCCTGAACTTGGGCCATCTTTGCAGCTTGTTGCCTCTTCAGCCACACTGCCAGGGACTGCTGCTTCATCTTCATCATCACCATCCAGGGCTTCACCTCCCGAAGAGTAGCTGTCTTCTGGAAGTTCTGAGCTTAACTCAGAACCTAGGGATTAAAAAAAAAAAAAAAGAACATAAGCAAAGAAAAGTATCAGGAACTGTTTCTAGTAAGAATCCTTCACTAGTGCCATGTAAATGTTATCCAAGTTCAGAGCAAGGTATTACTGTAAATGTGCTGTTAGAATTAATTCCTCAAGCAGGCACACACCATTATACTGAATTTATTAGAAACTATGTAGTGCAAGTGCTTGCTCACCTCAGTGAGGATTTAAAGTGACTAAAAGAGGCTGGGCAAAAGGGAAAAGGCAGTCTTGGACATTTATTATTAGATTATTGAAAATTTTTATGTTTAGGACTGGTAATTGTGGGGGGAAAACCTGTCTATTACCCAGTTTAAAAAGTGTTACTTATAAATGCCTATCCACACAAATATGTGTGCATATGTATGTACACACACAGAGCGAAACTGCAACAGTGACATCTGGTGTTTGACTGAAAACAGCCACAGGAATTAAACTGAAGCTGGGGGGGCATTTCTTATGTGACAGCAAAACCTGCTCAGAGACAACACTGCCAGCAAAAATACAATTACCTAATCATAACAACCCAGGGGAGACTGCTTTGTGGAATACAGCATCAAGACAGGCAAGTCAAAAGAAACCAGAGGCACTGAGCTTTTCTGGGTAAGTAACTGATCAAGTCACACAAATGAAACACCCCCAAAGTTAAACTTCCTTACCCCTATGAGCCCTTCAAAATAAAAGAAGGAAACAAAGTTACAATACCAAAGTTTGGAATTAAGACAGCTGAAAACAGCCAAATTGATAGCACAAGAACTACAGGAAGAGTTAGTCCTCATTACTCTGTTCAGTGGGTCAAACTGCAAAAACTGAAATCTTTAACAGTGCAGGTGATTAACTAGAATGAAATGTGCTGCAGGTTTACCGTGTGCTAAAATATGCTGGGTTATTTCACTTCACCATGTAATCAAGAGCAGAGCATACTCGAGGTCGCGCCACCATTAACTACCATTCTAGTAATATTTGTGCCACATTAATTAATTATCTTACATACAACTTTCAAGACTGCAAAATCAAATGCTGAACAGAAGGAAGTTGGTTTCTGATCTCACCCAGTCCCAGATTCCTCACATGACTCACTTTCATCCATCTACCACTCTCAAACTCCTTAAAAAAAGGAAATTTAAATTTTAAACCACAGTACTGCTGAGCCAAGTGCTTTACTTCATAAGCACTCCTATATCCCATGAAGTACCTTTATCAACCAAACCATTAAGAGAATGAAGCCAGGAGTGCTTCACAAGATCTGTTCTCCATAAAACCATGCAGGCAGCTATTAATGATATTCCCCATTAATCAACTGTCTATTTAATGACTAAGCAACCATAAACATACACTCTGCTGCCACACTAATTCATTATTCTGCCTTCTTCATGAGCCTGTTTAAACCAGAAAAAAACCTAACAAACAACATAGCAGGAAAACAGTGGCACTGACCAATTTAAAATAAAACCTTTACTGCCCAGGCATGTTTAGAGGCTTGGGGAGCATTTAGTTATCCTGATGGAAGGAAGTGAGAGTCTGTGGTTACAAAACAAATGTGGAAGAGAAATAATGACTGAATACTTGGTCATTATCTCTATCAGTATTACTTTTACTACCACCAAGTGATATGTCATGCTCCACTTAAAATGAAATTATAGGAGTGTTTTCCAACAGTCCTTACTATAAACTGGAAATTTAGACGTAGCAAATTTTCTCAACACATTCAGTAACTACTTAAAGGCATCCTTTTTATCCTTTAATATCCTTCTAGATATCTATATCTATATTCTTTGTTTCCAATAAAAAATAAATTCAAACCATTGCCTGCAAAAAAGTAACTGCAGCACCACATGACATTCATTATACATGTGGAACCACATCCTGGTTCCTACAGGTTCTTACACGTAAAACAAGGTCAAGTTTTCACCCTGGGCCTTGTCCATGCTATCATATTGCTATTTAGCTTTTAATCAGCCCCTGTTTGTGACTTTTTTTACACACACAAAAGCAAACAACGACCAAAAGACCAAACCTGAATCCCCCACACTGCTTAGGCCAAACTTTTGCAGTTAGCCATAAAAAACAGATCAGACTCATAAAAAGGAAATTTGCAAAAACACGTATCATTTCCTTTACATAACATCTTCTGCCAATAAAATAGGAGAATAATACCAACATTTTGCTTTCAACAATTACAGAAAATTTAACAAGGTTTCCACTACCTGCCATAATGTATTTTTTAATACATCAGAGTCAGCACAGCATGAGATAAAAAAAGAGGCATTTCAAAATAATTTAAACCAGATTAATTCAATCAGAAGTAGGACCTGGGGCCCTGTTCTGAATAAAAAGACTGGTATCTAGCATAGATTTAATATAAAAAGTTTTAATTGTTTATGTGTGTTGTTGTGAAATACACATACACATCTCTCTCTCACTCTTTCAGACTCGCTCAGTGATGAAGGTGTAGACAGACTTAAAACACAGTGAACATTCAGCAATGAGCTCTGAAAGGAGCTCCCACACAACGCTTCCCTTTGGGTTCAGTTTTGACGCTCAAACCAAACAGAACCAATGCTGGAGCCACAGCTCCAAGCGGCCACAACCCTGACTCCTCCCAGAGCAAAGTAAAAAAGAAATACAGTCACAGAACAGGATGAAGAAATGATCACAACTGGTTAGGTACACTCTCACAACACGCAAGGAGGCGAGAACGAGTGCAGAACCGTGCGTTAAGGGTTAATCACTGGAACGAGAGCGTCCCAGGGCTTTCCTTCGGGGAGAAGCAGATCCCAGCTCGCACAGACAAGGAACTCGCGCAGCTCTGCACAGTCGTTCCCCTCTCTCCCAAGAAAGAGGACAGTGAAAGCTGTTTTGGTGGGCCTAGGGAATTAAGGAGCTGTTGGCGGCACTCCCCGGGCTGGGTGGGAAAAGCCCAAGGGTCACCAGGCACCGCGGCAATGGCAGCCACGGGACACGCCGCCACGAAGCGGCCTTAGCAGGTGGCCTGGCCGGGCCGGGGCCTGCACTCCCGTACCCCATGCCGACCGGCGCCGGCCTCGGCCTACGGTCCGGAGCGGGGGGGATGAAGGGCCACGGACCCACGGGCGGGCTCGGACGGGGCAGAGAGGAAAGGTCTCCAAGGTCAGAGACGGCCCACAGCGGCGATGCTTCAGAAGAAGAGAGGGCCCCAACCCCGTTCCCGCTGCCGTTACCGCTGTCCGTGTCCGCGGCTCCATGCCCACGTGGGCCCGCCACGGCCGCCGCCATCTTCCCCACGGTCCGCCCAAGTACCGCGCTCCACCCCGACCTCCAAGCCGCCAAGCGGCGTTCCGGCTCCTGGGGTTCCGGGCAAGCGAGAGGCGCTTCCGGGGCGGGGCCGGAGGCGAGTGGGGTCAGGGCCTCCGGGCGGGCAGAAATGGGCCCGTGGGTAGAGCAAACAGGGCTGGCTGCGCCCTCCTGCCCCCCAGGCCCTGCCTGCTGCTCTGTGCAGACCTGCGCGGAGCCTCCGGCTGTTCCAGCCTTTACAGGTGCCGTCGTGGGGTCGGTCCCAGGCAGGGCCCGATCGGGGCCTCCCGGGGCTCCCTGTGCCGCGAGCTGCGCTCACCTGGAGCATGGAAAGTACCTTGGGAACCGCTCCAGCACGGCAAAGCTCGGGCTGATTGTTCGCTTCCCCCCAGCGGGGGGCCACTGTGGATGGACATGGCAACGATAAAAATAAATTAATGCTGTACATATGTGTGTGTGTATCTATCTATCTATCTGTCTATCTATCTATCTATCTATCTTGTCTATCTATCTATATATATCTAGGAGTCCTGGTGCAAAGAGGAATTTGAAGGCTCCACCAACAGCACTGGTGTACCCAGAAAGATTTAGTCACGCTTTCAAACATTGCTTTAAGGCCCAAAAGGAGGGACTGGAGGTGCTTGCAACCTCTGGTTGATGTACTGAAATTGCTTTCTCTTAGTGGTGGTATTTTAGCACTGGCTGGTTGGAAGAGCAGACTATCCCCACATGTACGAAAACAAAATTTCTTCTATGTAAGGTGAGAGAAGTCTTAGTAACCCTAATTTTCTGTCACTTCACAACCACAAACCAGGCACTCCGATTTTAAGGCCGGATTGTAACAGTGCCAGCCATCCAATCACCCGATTTGGTGCATCTGTAAGAAGTACATCCTGAAAACAGCACCACCTAGAATGCCAGAACTATAAAAGAAGCAAATCTTAGGCAACTTCTTACATAAAAGCACCCTAAAGAAATGAAATTTAGTTATCAAAACCTGCTGTTCTAGTAGCAATAAAATGTGCTGGGGGATAGAAGCTCCAGGATTCCAGGAGCCCCAAAGTTGCGCAGTAGAAATAACCACAAGTACATATATGAATATAGATAGTACAGGGGGAAATTGTTACATGAAGTGTAGTCTTCAGTGTTTTTCAGGTTTTAAAAATGTTTAATTTCTACACCGTATATTTTTGTAAGTATTTTGTTGTTGCAGCCCTGCACAATGAGTGACCTGTATCTTTGCACGTCTGTCATTCCACCTTTTTTCCTCAATGATGTGGATTACAGCCAAGATAGCATTTTTTTTTCTCCTGCCTCAGTATCAGGTGGAAAAATTAGAAGTGGGAGAGAGGTCAGAAAATGGTGTCAGATATTCTGACATGACTGGGGAAACTGTTTCACAAGGAAAGATTAAAAAGACTAAGTATGTCTTGGTTAAGTGTGAAGGACGAACAGGATTGGACTTCTTGTTTCTTGTCATAATCTCTGCTGCTGAGTGGAGCTATCTGGTACAAATTTCAGTATAACCCACTGTTAGAAGCAAAGAGAAAACTTGTGCTGAAAATCTTGGGCCATTGCTGTGATGTGTAGAGTAAGAAGGAAACTACAAACAACCCTATGGTGTTTAATGAAGAGGCCCAAGCATTACAGCATATGTAATTCCTAGTGTTTTACTCTGTGGGGCTCAAATCCTACGGTGCCCACCAGCAATAAGCAGTAACCACTCAGTCAAGTCTGCTGTGTGATGATAAAGACCCTTTCCACGATTTGTCTCTGAATCACATTGTGTCGGAAGGGACACTGCAAGGGGAAGGTCATTAAACTGCATAGACAACAAGCTCTCTCAGCATGGCAATTACAGCCCTCATTTCCTACAATACACACCTTATTGAACATGTCTCGCTCGTGGTAGCCTATTTGTCTTGGAAGTATGTCAAAATCTTCAGATTAAGTCCTGTAATATGTTCCAGTAAATGACAGCTCTGAATCTTCTTCCCTCAGACTGAATTAACAAGTCACATCTCTGGGAGCACAATTCTTTCTGCAAGCATTATCCCAGAGCATTTGTCAGAAAATCTGTTGCCAAACCTCATTTCAAATGACTGTCATTGTCTCGCATCACTCTGGTCTGAATGTTTTCTGTGTTGAAATTGTGGTCTGAGGAATGCTGGAGATGTAACCAGACTACAGAGTCTTTCCAAACCAGACAAAGCAGCATTTACATCCCAGTTTATCATTAGGAACTGTGGTTGAAGAGCAGCAGAGGCACAAGCTGGCATTCTGTGTGTACGGATCTGTAGTTAAGCCTTGGCTAATGAAACAGTGAGCAAAACTTTTATTTATGTGTGCACCACAGCCAACATCAGGACAAAATCCAACCCAAAAGTGTAAAAAGGATGGTGCAATCCTAATTGTTTTCTCCCTAATATTTTAAATATGTTAATTTTTTTTTTTTTTTTTGGCTGAAATTTTACATATCAACAATACTGGAATAAAGCTCAGTTGAAGCAGTTACTGTGTATTCTTCATTACAGAAATAGCAGCAGCAAATTCATAGAATCATAGAATGGTTTGGTTCAGAAGGCACCTTAAGGGTCATCCAGTTCCAGATCCCTGCCATGGGCAGGGACACCTACTAGACCAGGTTGCTGAGAGCTCCATCCAACCTGACCTTGAACACTTCCAGGGATGGGGCATCCACAACTTCTCTGGGTAACCTGTGCTAGTGCCTCACTATCCTCACAGTAGAGAATGTCTTCCTAATATGCCATCTTAACCTGCCCTGTGTCAGTTTGAAGCCACTCTCCCTTGTCCTACCACCACACACCCTTAAGAAAAGTCCCTCTCCAGCTTTCTTCTAAGCCATTTTAGGTACTGAGAGGTCTCCCCAGAGCCTTCTCTTTTCCAGGATGAATAATGCCAGCTTTTTTGATCTGCCTTTTTAACAGAGAACAAATAAAAACAAAACTTCCCTTTGGTTTCTCTTTGTAGTTGTACAATTCCTGTGTTCTGGTGTGTTCTAGAGTTACAATGAATTTGTGGATCTCAGCAACAAAGTGACCAACATCTGCCTAAGTATGTTGTCAGTTTGTCTCTAGGAAAGAAGTCTGCCTGATGTTCTTCAACACAAGGGCACAGGCTTACAGGGAAATGTGCAGTGCATTTGTATAAAGGAGAACAAGGAGAGAGTAACATACTTTGTGCTTAAGCAAGGCAGTAAAAGTTTTGTGCTACCCTTAGTTTTTGTGGGAAAGTCTCCACAGACTTGTCTCATTCTGTGCAAAGGAACTCTTGCCTAGACAGACAGGATTGATTACCCTTCCTAAAAAAGTTCAGTCAGGCTGTAGTTCTCAGCTGTGGTCTTCATCCCAGAGTGGAGCCTCTCGATACCCTGGGTGCAGGCCACAAAAAGTCTTTAAGATAGGGCTCCAGTTCTGGCTTATTTAAATGGGTCTGGAAGTAAATGTAGATACCTGTTGCCTCCAGTCTTTGGATTGAGTTCTTCATGCTTAAATTTCAATGGAATAGAAATTTAAAAAATAATGTGATAATTACAAATGTAGCCCCTTGTTCTGTGCTAGAAATTCTTACTGGCATCCATGAAAATGGAGAATTGTAGCAACTCTCACGTGTTCATGTGCCATTATCCTCAGCTTCCCAAGATCTGAGCGCGTATTATCCCAGCTGAACACTAAGTGTTTCAGATCTTTCCAGCTGTTTTTTCTTTTCCAGCTTTCTCCTATGGCTGCTACTGCTCTCTTCCTCTTCCCTTTCTGAACAAATTGCCTTGACTCACACACATCCCCTGAAAAATTGCCCTTTTCTGTTCCAATGAATACTGAATTCCAAGCCAGTATAATAAAGTTTAAAATCTGTGCCACATTTGTAGGTCATATTCATAGCCTGATTCCTGCACTAAGAGAGATCAATAACACCAGATGGAGATGAGCATGATAAAACTCTCCAGTGCCTCAAGATTTAAACATGTTTATTCTCATTTCCATTTCTTTGGTTTAGCTGATGCCATGTTTTCCTCTCAGCTCTGCAGGGTATTTGCAGATGAAGAAAAAAAGAGCAGTTCATGAGTAAATCACAGAACACTGTGCTGTCATATAGTAACTACTGCTCTAATCTCATATTCAATAAAACTCATATAAACTGATATTTAATAAATCATAATAAAGTACTACCTAGTCCTCTGCAAATGTTTTACCTCTTGAAAGTTCTAGTCCGGCTCCCAGCAAGGTCAGGTGGAAACTTTCTGTTTCTTTCCATACGAATTCATTTGTTCCCTGAGCCTCACAAGCACCAGTACAGTAAATCTTTATGTTTTTAGGAGGGAGACACAGAGTGGTAAATACAACTTTTGCAAACCTTTATGCCTGTAGTTTTAAACATAAACACGTTCATGGATTAGCTGAGTGCTTGTGCAACTGTTGGCTACCTCAGCAATGAAAAACAGAAAAGACAACACCTCTTGTGTACATTAAAAAACCCCAAGCTGAGAATCATGGACTGAGAAATTATTCTAAAAAGAAATTGTGAAGTCTTGCCCACTGAATGCAGTAGGTTTGCACCTGTGTATGCATGAACTGATGCTGGATAATCTTAAATCTGTGTTTTCCGAACAAGTGCTTGAATTTGAAACTATCCCTATTATTTGCCACAATTTATTCTGTGTGTGATTGTTGATTATTATTACATCAACTTTCAACCAATACTGCAGTGCCATTTGAAAAACAGCTTCCTGGTTTGAGAGATATGTAAGTTTATGTGTCATGTTGAGGAGCAATTATTATTTCCTCCCTCATCAATATAAGAAAATGAAAAAGAGATAAAAGGACTTAATTTACCTAATATGTACCTAAATCTTAATTTTTTCTGTGTTTCTTCTTCCCTAACTCCATTCATTCATCTATTCACCCTGAATAATCATTCTTGTTCCTGTATTTAACAGGAATGAATTATGGTAGTGATGTATTACCTGAAATAAGTTCAAAACACAAACTGACTGTAATTTTAGGAATTCATGTCAGATTTTTTCCATTTTATAAATACCTGCATCACAGGAGTTGACTGGAACTGCAATGAGCAACTGAGAAAAAGAGCTTGTCCCCAAAAATGTGTCCTGAGTACATTTTTAATGTTTAAGGACTTGTCAAGGAGGACAGGTGGGAGAATGAGATGGTCAATGAATATTGTATCCAAATCTTTAACACTTTAGGGATGGGTTTTTTTACATTTAAATTATTTTCAGCTATGTTCATCATGGCTGATAATTTTTAAGATTTCTCAGTAATCAGAGAGAAGAACAAGCTTGCATGTATGAAAAATCAGAAAAGCTTAGGTAAGGTCAGAAAGTTGTCTCCTGCACCCTGGGAATCACAGAAGAGGTTGTGGCTTGAGCCTGTTGTAGAAGAAGAAAATCTAAATGTCTAACA